CCCTCCCACCCTTGTCATATTGCAGCCCCTCCCGCCGCCGGCCGCAAGGCTCGTTCATCCGGGATGGCCGTTTCCAGGGCAACCGGCCCGTAAACAGGGATCAGTGTCCACGCCGGTGGCGCGGTGCTCGGCGCGGTGCTCGGGGGGGCCTCGGCGAGCCGCGCCGGCCGCCGGCAACGACTGCAATAATACGCCTTCATGTGCCATCAGCAGCGGGCGGGGAGCCTTGCGCGCGCCGTGAATTACTGTGGACGGTTTAAGCTGATTTCGCAGGTGTGTCGCCGCCGCCAGCGCCACCCCGTCCCCCCTCCACTCCGGCCCCCGCTGCTCCCCCCGGACCCTCCTCAAGGGGCCGTGGCGCGGTGAGGCGGCGCTAGGCTTACCTGGCGACCGGAGCGGTCCGCTGACCCTCCTCGTAGAGGTGGAAGAGGAAGGGGGGGGGGGGCGGAACCGAACCACCCTCCATTCGGCAGCGGCGGGGAAAGTACCCCATGCGCTGGAATTGGCCACAGGCGGGGCGGGTTACCTACCTCAGCGTCGGCCGACCTGGCTGACCCTGTCTCGCGGGCCCCGCCTCCTCAACCCTACTGCACTTTTAACAGCAGAAGCTTCAATCGCGCAAATGTGAATGAAAATAATCACGTCCATTCGGTTTTTCAACAGTTCAGGCTGTCCTATTTGCCATTGGCTCCGTTTTAAGTTTTTGGTTACCTACCGTCAGCCATCTTGGCTCATTATTAGGGATCATGGATCATCCAGAAAGAACGTCATCTACTGAAACAGCAAAGCTCAGGTTCAGCCGCTGCAAGCTCTTCATAGCGCCTGGTAGGTAGGCAACATCTCGCTTGCAGCGCATGGTTGTACTGCGGGATGGCCTACCTTGAGCCACGCAGGCGTCGAGAGCTGCCGAGCTTCCGTGATTTGCTGAATTATCGCAGAAAAGCGGATTTTTTTTCTCTGGGCGATCCCTTTACCGAGCGAGAAGACAACAAGCCGACGCTCCTGAGTACAGTAGACAGTGTTGCCAAAAATTAAAGCGGAGCCTGATGGG